AGGAAATTTTACTATAAAGGCCAAGAACATAATAAGACGCTAAGAAAGGTACAGAGAGGGGAAAAAAGAAAAAGGAAGACAAAAATCAACCCACAGAAGAAGTTATTTACGCTTCGGGACAGTTTTATTGACAACTGCAGTCCAAAGTTATGGTATTGCTTGTGCAAGGTTTTGAGGGCGTGGCACGGTTACCATGGTCACTATTTATGTCGTAATTGGTGTCAAACAATTTCTCTTGTTGAACTTAGTAAAATGACATTAAAGATAACTTGTTAAAACCTAAGGGCACCATTCCACCTTAACTAATTCGTAGATTTTTTATACTCCTTAAGACTTTTTTTTATCACTTAAATACAATTAATGATATTCTTAATTCCGACTTTTTTAGTGTAGAGTGTAATACCAGGAAGGTTTTGGGGGCTGCTATCCGCTAAAGCACTAACTGTACGCACTACATAAAACATGTTACTCCTACCTCAATTCGTTAATAACATCAAAGATATACATTTGTTTCAGAAAAGCTCTTGCTCTCCTTGTGGTCCTATTCTCTTAAGGAGAGAACCAATTTGCTCTTAATGCATGCGCAGATTAGTTAGCGTTCGTGTCGACTATATGTAAGGTGGAAGATACGTTTCCTACGGGATCACACACAAACGTTGAGTGCGTTTCCTTGTGGTAGAACCAAACATGTAAGACGCATGCGTTCTACTATCGTTATACACTCCGTTTTCATCCCCCAAACCACGCGGTTTTTTATATGTCGTGTGATGTGATAAAGTAGAATACGGCATGAGTTTTGGCTATTTAACGCGTCTTCACATTTAAATCGTTACGTTCTCCGGAATCTGCATTCAGTTAGCTTTGATATGGTGTATAAGACTTAGAAATCTGCGGAGATTTATTAGAGAAAAAAAAATTTTTTATGAGACGGTTAGCACTGTGAAACTTGAACGAGGGGTGGATCGCGTTGCAATTCGTCAGGAACTAAAGTGTAATACAGCAAGATTTGTAAGCTGTTTTCGCATCGTGAGCATTAAATCGTTATGTACTGTAGAATCTACATTAACGTAGCTGCTAGTAGCAATCTTTGGCGAGATATGCAGTATTCTGTCGAGATATGTTAGAGAAAAAATATTTACGTGAAACAATTAGCAGTTGTCTTGATGACGCTGCGACTCGACGGGGCCGGAAACACGGAACGACTAAATATTCAACGCAAACTGACCTCAAAATGATTTAGTTTTCAGAATTCTACTTTCTCTTAGATCTAAAGGAACACAGTACGGTTAAATATCCCCTCTCAAAAGGAACTTTAAGCCGATATGGAAAAAGCAATCTTGCACACTGTCCCTTTGAGTTTTTTCCATTTATTTCCAGCGGTTGGCGTGAAAGGTGAAATTGTCACCTTTGCTGCTTCAACGTATTATTGAATTTAACAATTATGAACGAGAGTCGACTTAAATCACTAAAGTAAACAGTAATTGTTGAAAGTTATTTTTGGACCTTGAATGAAAATACACACATTAAACAAGCACACTGCTAAGATTATGTCTTATCAAGGTTCCCGTCCCTTCTTAATCTGCAAGGGGAAGATACAAGCCGGGAGGGAACCGGGCAGGGACGAGGACCTGTATGACTACCATGCCAGAGCTATTAGGGCACTCTGCACTGTCTGAGATTGTCTCACTAGTTTGGTTCAGTCACTTAGTTTTATTTTTTCATTTATACAGATAGCTTCTTGTTTGGTCAGCTGCTGGAACGTGAGCGAACCCGATACCATTACGATTCAATTTTTCAACAATTGATAATTATGGGGAGAGAAGCTGAAGGTCACATGATCATGCTTTTCACACGTGGTGATGAAGCTGAACGTAATGCTCGAAAGAAGAAAGTCTCCTCGGTCGACGACTACTTAAAGCAGTGGCTCACTGGTATGCCAGAATGGGTGAGAGATTTCATCGACCGAATTGGTGGTCGAGTAGTCTTGTTCAACAATATTCTGGATGCCAAGGAGGATCCAGTGGCTTATCAAAAACAGCGACGACAACTGATTCAGGTAAGGCGGTAAAGCTCATATAGAAGAATTCTATAAGGTCATAAAGGGAGATACCAATCAATTCAATTTCCTACCCGAATTTGGCAAATCCCAGTTCCCAGATGTGCCAGATTCCCAGTTCTAAACCATAATTTGCTTTAAAACGTATGCTCTGTGTGAACATCACGGATATGTTTCCAGCAGTACATCAAAGAACTCCTGGTGAGTTAGATCATTTTGCTACGTTCTTTGCACCCTGAATATACTGCTTAGATTTGGGATGCCAAAGTGTTGGGTGTGGATAAAAAATAAGATAGTCAATGAGAAGGTTGCTGAAAGGACTTAGCTCGTCAGGAGTTCTCACTTGCTCAGTGGTTCGGTATTGAGATGGTTCGAATCCTATCAGAGAATCTGGATTTTTCGATTGTCCAACGCTCGCGACAAACCGAACAGCATCTCATTATCATTTAGCTTGACATTTATCGCCTTTTTTCATCCATATACGAACTTTATTTCCTTAATATAAGTTAAGTACTTTACTGAGAGGACTCTTGCGGGGGATGAAGGGTGTCATGCTTACACTAGACGAAGTACTGAAAAAACCAAGCTCTCTGTTTCTTAGGTAATTGACAAGATGACTAACGGAAAGCCCCTCATCAATTCTAAAACGAAAGCTGCGAAGGGGATTGAAGAGGCGTTGAATAACACTGAATACCAGTGTGATTTAGAAATATTGAAGACCAAGGTACAAGAGATTGACACCGAGTTAAAAGATCCTATGTTGAGCCCCAACAGGAAAAAACAACTTCAAGGGGCTAGGAGCGTGCTCGAAAAAGAAATTACTCAGAAGGAGCAAGAAGAAAAAAGAGAGCGAGAGGAGATCAAGAATGAAGTTCGAAGAAAAATCAAGAATGAGATAAAAGAAGAGGGAGGATGCTATCCTGGCTCAGCCATCTTTATTGACAGACATGGCTGTAGACGACAAATGGATTCTCTAGACCTTGGTGACGAGGTGCAAGTCATCATTAACAACGAGATCCGAGCAGAACCAGTGATCACCTTCATCCACCGTCAGCCAGAAGTTATGCAAGAATTCCTCAAGATCACAACTGAGAAGAACAACATCCTGACGATCACTGAAGATCATTTGCTATTTGTAGAGAAGATTGGCAAAGCAACAGCCATCCCTGCCAGAAATGTGAAAGTCGGAGATATTCTGTACGTGAGAGCAGGCCATAGTGTAGAGAAGGATGCAGTTCTGACCATCAGCAAGGTCTACGAGAAAGGTGTTTACGCCCCAGTGACCCTCAGTGGCACCATTCTGGTCAACGATGTGCACACCTCGTGTTACTTTGATATGCTGTCTCATGAGTGGTCCCAAAAAGCCATGGGTGTGGCTCGCGCCGTACATTATGTGTCCCCTTGGATTCTGCAGTGGATCAGTGGCGTTGGACAGAAAGATGGATTCCCAGGCTGGTGCAGACTGGCTCATAAGATGCTCACCATGTCTGACTGAATTCTGATCATATTTTTACTACTATGTTGATTTGATTTGATCTGACTTAATTTCACTGCTTAGTTTTTCAATAATTGTGTTTTTCTCAGCACAAAAAGTGAAACAAGGTTCTACATATGTACTAAATAACAAGTAATGGTACTATGGATTTTTAGTCAGTTTGCAAGACAAAATAATTAGTTGCCTTGACAAAGATCTTTGAAGCTAGCTGCTTGCATAACAAAGAACTTCCGTTTGTCTAGTTAGTTGTTGTGACAAAGATTGTGTGACAAAGAGCTTTGTCGTTGGTCGTTGGTGTGACAAAAAATTTGTAGCTGGATGTCGTGACAAAGAACTTTGTGGTCTGTTGAGTTGCCTTGTCCAAAGAACTTTGTAGTTAGTGCGACTATAGTTTGGGTGGCAAATAACGAAGCTCAACCGTTTGCCTGCACGCTTTGTTTTTTTTTCTTGTGTAGTTATAGCTAGTCTGGAAAATTCTGTTTAGCAGTTTGCGCAACAAAAAGCTTTGTCAGTTGCATGTAGTAAGCTTGACAAAAACATAGGAAGTTATTAAATGCGGCAAAAAAGAACTTTGTTGATACTGTGTGTGACAAAGAGCCCTCTATTTTGGCATGACGAAAACTTTGAAGTTATTTGGTAACAAGAAATTTCTGTATAAACTGTGTGGACAACTACTTGCAGTTAGTTTGCATCACAAAAGAACTTTGTTGTATTTTACCGTGACAAAACATTGGAAGTTATGTGCTGTGATAATTATAGTTAGATTTTGAACCGTTTGGGTAGAAAAATGAGTTTGAAAATGATAAAACGAAGTACTTTGTATCAGTAAAGATGCTTTGCAGTCAGATGTTGTGTTGGCACGAATTTTAATATATCTTTAGGATCTATTTGAAATTTGTTCAATTCGCATTGTTTTCATTTGACATTTACTCAAACGACATTTATTCATATTTGATTAACTCAGTGAGTATTCCATTCGTCCAGGAATTTCCCCTGCCATCGATAGAACTGATTATGACGGGACGTATTCCCTGATATTCTTTCAGTACTTCGGTTTGCTTGTAGAAGAGGATTTTCCAATTCCTATTATTATGGGTTCGTTTTTGGGCAATAAAATATATCAATAGTATTTACTAAACCTTGGTAGTGAGCAAACAATTGTTAAGGGATCGTTTTAGGGACTCGTGAAAATTATCAAAGGGTTAATAAACCACCAAGAAAAGAAATAGTTCTTTTAAGAAAAGTTCGGAGCTTCGTTCTATGTTGATGAAAGCGACAATCAAAGGTTAAACGAAAAGAAAACATCGGAAAAAAAGCTAATAGCTTTTGAAAGAAACTCGTTTGTGGTTTATTTACTTTTAGGCCCAGTTGAGACGTCGTGCTTCTGCTGTGCCGAACTAAATTGCAATTTGGTTCAACTGTAGCACGGCAGGAAATCAACTCTGATTCAGACGTCGCGCCAGAGTCGAATCAAATCCAGGGTTTACTGAAGCCTCGTAACAATTCTCCTCCTAACTCCCCGAGGGAACGAAATCTCGCCAAAACACATTGACATAATTTRTGWATTTAGTTTGGCGCGACAGAAGCACGACGTTTGAATCGCTGCCGTGCCAGAGTCGTGTAGCACGGCAGAGCTTGTCGAACTTAATTGCTTGCCGAACTTAATTCAAAAGTTTGATTCAGACACCATGCTTCTGCCGTGCTTTAGTCGAACTTAATTCCTGAATTTAGTTCGGCACGGCAGAAGCACGACGTCTGAACTGGGCCTTAGATAATTGATAATATTCACTCAGTATACTCTTATCTAGACTATGAGAGTTTTGTGAGTTTATCGTAGTTTACTGTATTTCAACAGCTTTTCTTTATGTGTTTCTGTCTGTTTTGGCTTACAAAAGATTTTACAACACCAGAACCATGTTAGAACGGTTCATGTGAATGTTCTAGAATTTGAATTATTTTAACTTTAGTTAAAGATTTCGTAATGTCTACGGACGACCTACGCTTAACTGGAATCTTAAGGCTAAACTCTGAGAAACGATTTAGCTGGACATATTCTACAAACACGTATTTCTTCCATCTTTATTGAGGCTTACTTTAATCTGTGAATCAGGACAAACAACCAAACTTCAACGAACTCTATTTCCGTTGGCATTTACGTTACTTTCATTTAGGAAACAAACATTGGCTAACATTACATCCGAAAAAGTGATTTCAGCTGACGTGCCTTCTGAGAAGCAATATCCTTAAAGGAAAAAATTTACTTTAGGTTGTATGGAGGCCACACAGATATGCATATTGAGAAGTTTTCTGAAACTTGTTAAAATCTCGTTGACCTCTACATTTCTAACACCTTCGAGGTCCTTTGTTCTCAATCCGTGAGTTTAAACTCCATGCTCTTTCAGTCTAAAACTTAATTCACTTTTCATCAGGACCTACACCAAGATCATAGTTAGCATTTTTACAAAAGTAAACATACCAGGATATGATGATGAAATCTCTTATTTTGGGCGACTCGAACAGCTGAAGTCACTTTTATACATAACAAAGATATCTGATTTAGTTAGTTTTAGTAAATCAGGTCCCTCTGACATAAATATGAGGTGCAACTTATTCCAACTTCACTTTTAACTTGTGCCAACTTCACTGGTGAAAAAACTTGTAAAATCTTGAAGCCTTTTGGAAGATTTAGAAAACCTCTGTAAGCCTGACGAGGATATCCAATAAAGTCTACGCTGTTGTGAAACAAAATCTGCTTCGTGACAGTTGTGGCAAAGAACTTTGTAGCCAATATGTTTAACAAGAACAAACTTTTGTTGTCAGCGCCTACGTGTTGGTCGGCGTGAGAAAGAATTGTGTGCATGTATACTTAGTGTTTGTTTCAGATAATTAACTTCGCTGTTTCTTTGAGCGACAAACAATTTTAAATTCAGTTTTGGAGACAAAAGACTTTATCTAGTGTGTGTAACTTGGCCCCGACTTACAAGCTCTTTTAAACAGTGTTTTAAGTCTCATAAAGCTCGTGCTCTGCAAGCAGAGAACATTTACAGCTGATTTCATTGCTTTGTCCTGACCTGCGTTTCCAATGAAACGTGATTCGTTTGTCATGTGTTGTAGTTCTAGTACATTACTTCTTCTGTATTTTTGCATTTTCATATGATAATGGAGTTAAATTTTGCGACTGAAAAGCCCAGACTGGGAGTTGCAATAAACGTTATGTATGTAAGTATTTACCATACAGTGTTTAACCTTGCGTCTCTGGCAACTATACGTACACTGAGAAAATAGTTCAGCAGAGCCCAGTGATTCATTGTTGTTGAAAGAACCTTTTCCCCGCTAGGCTACGCGGAAAACGCCTGTTTCGGATAAATTGTCAGTGCTTTTTTGAAAGAAGATGTTTCTGAAACATTTACAGAACATTTGTGCTTGTGTTTTTTGTTTTTTGTTTTTTTTTTTAATAGGGAAGTTTCTGTTTCTGAATACTGCTGTTTTCTCATTCAGTCCCTCAGAAGCTCATGCTCCGTAAATAAAATAGCTTTGTGCCTACTTTACATAACAAGAAAGCTGAAGTTACCCATTTAACTCTGTAAACGTTAAGCTTTCCAACCTGGAGGACATCTCAGGTGTACCTTTTGGAGGAAAATGCGCTGATGCGTCTACTGGTTTCGCTAGTCCTTTTATTACAGGCCGCATTTATAGTAACAGAGATAGAGTTTGATGAAATGTATCTCGTTTAGTCGAACTCAGTAATCTTCAGGTAGCCCAGTGTGTCGGATGCAACCATCTTGTTACTTCTTACAAGCAAAAATGAATTTACGCCATGCCCTCCAAACTGCAAACAGACCCTTAACAGATTTCTCTGAAATTGGTCCACGATCATCTCTTTTACTTTTATATGAAGGGAAGTTTAACCATGGCTTTAACTGTTATTGACCTTAATTGGGGTAAGTTTATAAAGAAACTGTGGTGCTGCGTCGGTGGGGAGTATAACAAGATAATTTGGCTTTATCAACTGGGTTGATAATGTGAATTGGCCACCGTAAAGAGATTCGAAAGCTGACGTTTCGAGCGTTAGCCCCTCGTCGGAGCGAATCGTATACATGGCGGACAGCTGCGGAATGAAATTTTCAGTATTCGAAAGACATCACTCCAAGTCCAGGATATTTGAAAGGCTGGAGAATTTTCAAAATGGCTGCTGCCGCCCTTGGACCAAATATCTTTTCAAGAACTCGCATTCAAACGTTGATCGCCAGCAGGTCAGATCGATTGACCGAAATTTATTTTTCTTCAAACTAAAGCTTCTCATTTTTATACGACGATGACTGTGATATGAAGTCAACAACGACAACAACAACGATAAAACAAAGGTACCGGGTGAATTTATTTTTCTTAGTGTTTTGCTTGTTTGTTTTACTGCCGAACTCGATGGTTAATTTGATTCACAATCGATGTAAGCTTACGTACACGTAAGCTTCTTAGTACAACTATATCGTGTATCCAAACGAATAATTGTGTCCCTGTTTTTATGTTTTAATCCGTATTCTCTGTTGTTCAGTTCTGAAATTATACTAAAACAATTATTCGCCTTAGGCTCAGTCAATATTGTTAAATATAAGTCACTCATTATACAGAACGTGGCAAAGTTAAAAAGCAAACACGTGCATTGGTTGACAGGCATAAAGGAAACTATAAAGTACGTTGGTTAACAAGGAAGAGGAAGGCGAGCGAACTCGCCGAATGTCAATACCTTTCTCCACTGAAGAAACAGAACTTGACGTAATATATCAAACACGAAAGACCGTGTTTGACCGCATTTCCAAACACCGAGAAGGGAAGTTGAAAATACGACGCGCAGCGGAGTATTTTTGAAGAAGTTCGAGGTGTTTGGAAATGCGGTCAAACACTGTCTTGAGTGTTTGATATATCTTCTCAATCAAAACTAAAACTTAGGACAAAGGGAGAATTGAAATCATTAAAATCTATGATAATTAAGATCAGATATCCAAATACCGTCATGGTGATGATTTCCTTTGGTTAAACTTGATGAATTATTTATGAGTTTGAGAAATCACTATCCAAAGTGGCCAGCTATCGAGTGTCCATCAGGAACTTCTGTACATCTACTTGCCATTGCTATGATGTTAATATTGTCAAAGTTGATTTAGTTTATTTAGTTGGGGTGCAGCGCGATAAATGGCGAGCGAAAAACTTGAAATAGAGGAGAGGCGATTTCTCTCGTCGCGCTTCTCCCCTTGGTTTCAGAATGGACAAACGTGGCTGTTCGAATCAGAAAGGTTGAATGTTTGTTTTGAAAGAACACAGCCATTCGGGCGGCTGAATAAAGTTCCTTCTGAACAGATAATCCCAGCTATTTTTAGTAACAAAATGGTAGGAAATTCAAACTTTAATTAGCGATAACTTTTGATTGGATTGACATATTTCAGAATTTTTTTCAGTTTCAGGATCTTTGTGACAAGTTCTTTTAGAAACTGTAATAAAATGGTACATATTATTTAAACAAAAATTTGGCGCCGACTTTGTGACGTCATTTTCCCGCCAGAAAATTCAAACATTTAACGATAAAAAATTGCGATAAAACATTTCGTAAAAGCATATTAAAAGTTTGTTGACGACGTTTCGACGTTTGGCCAACGTCATTATCAAGTCAAAGAGTGAATGATAAAAAATGTTTAAATACTAGAAAGACAATAGGTGATGGAATGTTCTTTCAAACTAAGAGTTTTGCGCGAATGGAATCAGTCTGCGTGTTGAGGCTAGGATTGCGCTCCTTGATGAAAAGCATCTCGTAGACAAGACAATTAAATATTCCTTGGCACATTTTTATAACGCGAAAGTAGCTTTCTATGAGAAGGCTTGTATCCCCATGGGCTGTCGAAAAGTGTTTAATTACCGATCGCAGAGTTTTTATGTTCAACAATACGTTGGTGGAAATGTCGAGCTGTATAGCCGACATAATCTGAATCACACAGATCACATGTAAAAGAGTATATAAGGCATTGTTAATTTACGATTGGAGGCTTGATTTCTCTGGGCTTGAGGTCTTGTTCCAATTTTCTGCTGATAAATGCGGGTTGTACTGTAGTGTCAATCTTGTGACTGAGATCACGCATTTGCCTTTTAACTGCGTTGGCTGTTGTTTGATCTTTTAAGGGCAAACTCACTCGCACAACGCTGCAGTCTTCTTTGTTTTTCTCTCTCGTGCCATATGAAAAGCTCTGAATGGTTTTGGTAATGGTAGAATTAATCATTTCCAAGGGATAATCAAGTCGAGTAAAGACAGAACGTAGTCTAGTACATTCTTGATTGAAGGCTGCAGTCGTCGAGGAAAGATCTAGAGCGTATGCAAGATGGATCATTGTTTTTACCAAATAATCTTTATAACGTTTGTCTGTGTGGCTTTGAAAATGCAGCAACAAGTCAGTGTTTGCTGGCTTTTTATATACTTGTGTGTCGTTCTTTGTTCTATTCTTGATTATTTCAATGCCGATATAGGATATCTTGTTGTCAATAGGAAGCTCCATCGTAAAAGACAGGCTGTGGTGGTGGCTATTAAGAGTAGTGAAAAAATCAACTGCAGTTTCGGTGCTGGACATTCTGGCCAAGGTATCATCAACATATCTCTTGTATAACGTGGGCATCACACCATCGCGAGTAAGCTTGTCTTCAAGATGACAGAGGAAGACATTGGCCATTAGAGGGCCAAGGGGTGAACCCATAGCCACACCGTCGATTTGTTCATACAGCTGGCCATTGAATTGGAAAAGCTGGTTAGTAGTGGCGATCTTGAGGAGTTTTGTAAGTTGATCCTTTTGCAGGTTAAGGCCATACGTTTGGTTAAACCAATCATCGGCAAACTCTTTTTCGACTAAGATGTTGATAGTCCCATTTAAAGGAACGTTTGTAAAGAGGGCTGTGACATCATAAGAGACCAATATGTCATCTTCGCTGATAGGCAAGTTACGGATTTCTTCAGAGAATCGAATGACAAAATTCGAAAAACAAAAAACTTTCGATTTTTCAGAATGGCGAGTTCTGTTTTTGTGCAAAATTTCAGGTAGCCGGTATCAAAAATGAAAAGATGAATGAAGGTGAGCGTTTTTGGGTCACTTTATGCCCACTGTGGAAACCAAGACAAGCTTAGCCACGTACATGCTGATTTGAAAAACGCTTTTAAAATGATGCGGGTAAGTTAGTACTTAACAAGGTCGGGAAATTAGCCGTTTGTAGCGTCGCGGTTTTCACCACAAAGGCATGAAGTTGGCGAGGCAGCCAAAAGAGAAAACATGCTGATGACGATGTTGTCTCTGTCTTAATGGAATTATGGATGTTTGGTTGTTCTTTTATTTGAATTTATTTTGTGCCGAATCAATTGATGTGGAAGTTCAGTCTGAGACGCTTACCGTTTTTATCTCGATCTGTTCCCCAGTCTGATGTTGCAAAACGTGAAGGCCTCTTTGAGCCTGATGAGCTGTTTTGTGCCTTAAATGGCATGGCCTAAAGGAAGACTCCGGGTTCTGATGGTCTGCCAGTTGGGTTCTTCATTAAATTCTGGGATACTCTAGGCACTGACCTTGTTGATGTTCTCAACTCATCGTATCAGGATGGTTTCTTCCTAGTTCTTCCTGTAAGGGTCTTATTGATTTGATCTTTATGAAGGGTGACCGCCCTGATCGTAAGAACTGGTGTCCTACCACCCTTCTGAACGTTGACTACAAGTTGTGTGCCCGTACTTTGGCTGGTCGTCTTTTGCAAGTCATTCATTTTGTGGTCTATTCTGATCACACATGCGGCATTCCAGGTCGTTATATTGGTACAAATGTCTCTCTTCTACGAGACATTGTTGATTTGTCTTCTGAACTTCAAATTCCGGCTGCCATCCTTTCTCTCGACCAAGAGAAAGCCTTTGATCGAGTTGACTAGAGCTTTTTGTTTACTACCCTTGAAAAGATGGGCTTTGGCTTTTCCTCCATCAGGTGGGTCCTTCTTCTTTATTCTAGGGCGAGGTGTTCGATCCTTGTTAATGGCCATTTATCTCCTGTTTTTATCCTACTCGTGGCGTTAGACAGGGATGTCCTCTGTCGCCTCTTCTTTGCGTGCTTACAATGGAGGTTTTACATGTTTTAGCTTGTAATCTAAGAGTACATCCTGATCTTGTTGGTATCAAGATCCCAAATTCTACTGTATGACACTTCTGCCATTGTGACATCTGATCCTAGCATCAAGGCTGTTTTTGATACCTATAGTCGTTTTGAAAGAGCTTCTGGATCTAAGCTTAATTTGAGTAAATGTAAGGGCCTTTGGTTAGGCTCCTGGAGGGGTCGTTCAGATATCCAGGTCGCCATTCAGTTGGTAATATGATTTGCATGATAAAGGTTCTTGGGATCTTTGTTAGCTTTGGAGATATAGATGCTGCCAACTGGAATCCTCGCATCGACGCTGTTTCGAAATGTTTGACGTTCTGGAAGATGCACTCACTGTCGTATAATGGCAGAGCCATTGTTGCCAATGCCTTGGCTCTCTCTCGCATTTGGTATGTTGCGTCCCTTGTACATATGCCCAATTGGGTACTCTCGAAGCTTAATTCACTTGTTTTTAAATTCTTTTGGGCTGGTAAAAGAGACCTAGTTCGACGCGATGTTGTCGTTCAAAAGAAAGATTCTGGCGGCCTCTTTGTTGTATCTGTCAAATTCAAAGTTCAAGACGCTCTCAGGAGTCCCAGGGTGGCTGGATCTCATTACTGACTTTTTGGCTTTACGATCGTTTTGGTATTGACCTTCCGACCATTCCCTTTTCTCCTTTGCGCCATTGCCTCCTTTTTATGGGGCTGTCTTCGACTCTCGGAGGTCTCTTGGAGGCTCCTGTGATCCTTCTTCCAGAGCTCTAACCTATAGTGGAGGTTCAATTTCTCGTACTTTGTTGTCTGGAATCACTTGTAAGCTGGCTTACCTCCATCTTCTAGAGATGAATGCTGTTGTGCCTCATTGTGTGGAGAAATTCAGCCTGTCTTTTGGTACCCTCTATTGGCCTGCCACGTGGTCTCAACTTTTTTATATGCCCTTTGACCGAGTGGTTATCGATCTCTCCTGGAAGATAGCTCATGGGGTCTTGTATACTGCTAAGCGTTTGTCGTGTTTCGGATACGCCATTTCTACTACGTGCTTTTGCAATGATCCGATGGAATCAGCCGAACGCCTCTTTTTTCATTGCTCTCTTGCCAAGAGTGGCATTGACTGGATCCAGTCCCAGTTGTTTCTCGCGGCTCTAACGGCCCCATCTATCTGTCTTCGCCATTTCCCAGCGAAATGATTTTCGCTTTCGCTCTGTTGCTCTCAGCGCTATTGGTCTCTTGGCGAGTGTGAAGGCTCGTGTTCGTTTTCACCTACCTCTCTTTTTTGAGAGGTTTCGTTCTAACCGTAGACGTCGTTATTTTCTTCGCCAGTGGGGCGCAAATGGTGTTATCTGTTCAATCAGGAATTCCTCCCTTGCTTTCAACATGTAAATATTTCTAGTTTAGGTTTTTCTAGCATGCGGTCGCCTTAGTTGGTTGCACTGCTCTGTTGTTCCATAGCATTTTTTGCGTTTTAATTGTAAATGGTGGACATTGTTCATTTCTTTTAGTTTTGTGTTGTTTTTTTTTTTGTTTTGAATTTTTCATTCATTGTTTTTAGTGGTGAGGCGGGGTTCGACTCCCCGGTGATTTTGGCGGGCCGGCCTCGTTTAGAGAGTGTCCCTTCACTTGTGCGGCTTTAAGTCTTTTTATTTATTGTTTTTAGGGATGAGTCATTGCACTACGTCTTTATACCGCCTAGTTAAAAAAAAAATACCACCGTAATGATGTAACAGCCGAGTGAGTCACTAAGACGAAGATTTCCTGGTGGGTCTTAAAGAACTGTAAAAATCAGTGAGACATTTTCTTTCATAAAAGCACTGTCGCGAGTACAACTTACGCATCACCATCGAAGCTAACAAATAGATTGTAAATTTCCTTGACGTAACACTCGACTTAATCACTGAGAAGTACAAGCCTTATTCGAAGCCAACAACCACTCCGCTCTATGTCCACAGCAAATCTAACCACCCTCCATGCATAATAAAGAATATCCCCGAGACAATTAACAAAAGATCTGAAATCTCATCAGACGAGGAAGCCTTCAAAGAAGCAACCCCACCCTACCAGGAAGCATTGCGTAAAAGCGGTTATTCATACACCCTTAAATTCACCCCACTACACAGCAGTCACCAGAATCAACCACCAACAAGAGAAAGAGGCAGAGAAACATAATATGGTTTAACCTACCATTTAGTCAAAATGTGCAAGCCAACATAGGAAGTGAATTTAAGTAAGCAAAAAAGTAAGCAAACATCTTTGGCAGCTAAAAGATCAATACTTGATCAGTATCTAGACTTGAAATCTGTGTCCGTTACTCTCACGTAGCATTCGCTCCCCTGTTCTGTTGTTGCCGTGGCTTGTTATACGATGCCTCTTGTGAGGCACTGGTTCTCTAACGGGCAGTCCTCTTTCTTGCGGCAATTGCAAAGGCTGGCGTCGCTTATGCTCTCGCTCGGGTTGGTTTGCTTCAGCAGGCGTTTGTTGTGTGCGTCGATTGTGCTCTTGACATTGGGAATACAGCTGTAAGATAGTTTAAGCGTGTTGCGGTTGAATATAGGTCTTAGGGCGTGCCCTCTGGGGAAACCTTAGCAGACGATACGCAAGAACTTCTTTCACAGGTTAGTTTTCACTCTCGTGTCGAAGGGTGGATTGTACCACGTGATGTTTCTTTTTCTTGTCCTGCGGGGTTTTTCCCTGTTGTTTTTCGGGTTGAACCATAGTTTGTATGCATATCCGCTCTTTTCTAGTGCTGCCTGGTACATCGGTGCTGCTTTGTTAAATGCTTCTAGCTTCGTCAGACGAGGTATTCGACAGCCTTTGGTTTATATTCTCTGGGATTCGTTTGATGATGTTCGTTGGATGCTCTTTGCGTGTACATAAGATGGTACGTTGCCAGGTTTCATAAAAGGATAGTGTTTTCCGGTGTTACG